GCGCGCGGGAAACATGCATAACAGCCTTTTGATGTCCATTCGGGAACTGATGCAACAAGACACCACCGATACCGTTTTGCGAAGCAGCAGCAGCAACAATTATTGGTAATCCTGGGTCGTAATGAGTTAACAAAAGATCGGAAGAATATATTTGTTTAATGTCATCAAAGGCTTTCTGGCACTGTGAGGACCAGTGCCACACTGACTCGTTTGCCAAAAGTGCATTTAGTGGGGCCCGGAATTCGTGCATCTGAGGGACAAAGTTGTGATAATAGTTAACTAGACCCAAGAAAGACTGCAAGGTAGCTTTGTTCATAGGGTGTGGTATTAAGTTGATGGCTTTTATTTTATTTGGGGCTGGCCGACTACCGGAACTGTCGATAACCGAGCCTAGGTATGTGATACTGGACATCATAAGCTCGCACTTCTTTGGACGTAAACAAAATCTATATGAATCTATCCTGGAGAATACTTCGTTCAGATGGGTGTAATGATCTTCAGTGGTGGAGCTTACAATTAGTACGTCATCCAAATAAGCAGTGGCACACTGTAATCCGGATAGCATAACGTCCATCACTTGTTGAAGATCACTGTAGCACATTTTACTCCGAAAGGTAACCGAATGTAACAATACAAGCCTCGATAAGTATTACTTGTGAGCAGTTCTTTTGAGTGCTCTTCGACCAGTACTTGCAAGTACGCATCAGAACGATCAATCTTAGAAAATATTTTTCCTCCATTAAGTTTTGTGAATAACTCATCGGGAACAGTCAAGGGATATTGATGCTTTTCCATTGCGTTATTTAATCCGATAGAAAAATCAGCACAAATAAGCAAACTGCCAGTAGCCTTTCTGATGACTACAATAGAAGCGGCCCACGCTGAGTAGCTCACAGAACTGATGAGGCCCATGGACTCCAGTCGACTAATTTCGGCATCCACAGCCTCAACAGCAGTGTATGGTACTGGTCTTTTGGGACAAAATACTGGACATACACTGGTACGCGGATACAACACAGTTATCGTCTTAGAACACATTCCAACACCCTCTGAAAAAGCCGGCGCACTTAGAGGCAGTGTGATAAAGCTTTTCACTGTCTTGAAACATTACGGGTGCAACCGAACACTGAACATCGGCGGGACACAGTGAAAACTATCTGGGTTGTCACAATTACTGTTCAAAGGTGTGCTCCATAAACTAAGTTTGTCTATCCACTCTATATCCAACAAGTTCAAATATCCATAACCTGTAGGGTAAGAAATACCATTAGCATGCAAATCACGAAGTGCAAACTTACAATTGAACTGTCCAAGAAAGGGTAATTCCGAGCCGGATGCGTCGTGAAGCGACGTGTGCAGTTTGGACACATGCGGGTTTACCGAGTTTGCTCCATGTCGACTCAGAGATTGTTGTAATATCGGAAGCCGTGTCCAGTTGAAGCCGGACAGAAACACCGTTTATCACAATCGGAACATACTTCCGTGATGACTGATAGTTCGGGCTAGTGGTTGCAAACACCACATTTGAAACGCAACGTTGAAAACTTGGAGTTTTGGCGAAGGTTCGTGACGGTCTTCCAGAGGTTCCCTGCAAACATCTGGTTTCCTTATGTCCCATATTCTCACAACCCTTGTAAATATATTGTCTGAATTCACAACATCTAGCGAAACGCCACTGACCACAATGCCAACAAGCACTAGGCGGACAGCCGCGGCGTGCGAAGTCGGAGAGACGTACTGAATTGTGCGATGGCCTGGGGCGTGTAGGAATAGTATGAACATCCACCACACAAGACTCGTTGTGCCGTTGGATCATTTCTGTGTCATGCTTCAGTGTCAACATACGTTCACATTCCTGTACCAGCTCCTGTAGTGAGACTTCTGGATTAGACTCCAACCGAGATAACAAACGTGTTCGAATCTCCGCATCTTTTAGAGAACGTAATCCACAAACAAAAATAAGCGTTTTAAACTGACCACTTGTGAGTGTGCTAAGCTGAAAACGTTCACATTCCCTGTTAACCATAGCTGCATACGTCACAAAATCATCCTCCTGCTGTTTAACAAATTGAAAACATCGGAAAGGTGTGTTGAAAGGGGAAGTTTTAGAGCCGAAAATTCTGGTCAAGTGTTTCACAGTGCCGTCCAATGAGATATCGCGTGGGTTCTTGGGTAGAATGTAATTAGAGTACTTTTCATACTCTTGTGGACCCAATTTCCTCAAAAGAAAACGTACCTGAGCTGCATCGCCTAGCTCAAGCCCATCAACTTTTAACAAGTCTTCATAGCGGCAAAACCATGCTTCGAAAGTAAGGTCATCGTCCGGCTGGTAATGAAATTCTGCCATACTGTGCGCCAGCTTGTCTGCAGTGGAAATCGTTGAATCCGTAGGTGCTGACTGTAACGACATTCGCGTTGTCAATGTTTCAATTAAGCGCTGTTGTGACGCATCAAACTGTGCTTGCTGTCTGGACAGCATTTCTTGAAGAAATTCCAATGGGAGCGTCATGGTTCACCGTCGCCAGTCTATTATAACGCCTGATTGTAACTGAACCCACTCCGAACGGGAAGCAAGAACACCACCGTGCTGGACGAGCTGTATCCAAAATCTGCCAAAGCTGAGCAACCGGGACGCATAAGATCAATAGATCAATAGGCCAACCACACGAAAGGACATCGTCCTGGATGATGAGCGGTCTAGCTCTGAGCGACTGTCGTGCGTGTGGCCAACACAATCACGTGACGAGACAGTCACGAATGTGTTTGAGCGACTGTGTAGCGCAAGCCCGTCTAACAATTACCTTTACCGTGCATAGTCACGCACACCCTAACTATCCACCTGAAGTGAAGGCTGAAAGGAATGCAACTGTGCTCACCCAGTATCTCAACCATCCGGCAGAATTCGGCGGGTGCGCGCTACTGTAGAGTCCCAGTAGGATGATACGGCCGTATAGCGCTTTCCTGGATGTGTGATGGCTGTCTGGCTGTGTCTAACTGCAATGAACTTACACGAAAACCTTATAAATCCACCTACTACTTACAACTTGATTAGTTCAACTCCATAATTACACCAAGGAATGTCTACCCACTACGCTATGCCTTAACTCCTTACGATGTGAATATTGTCTTTATTATTCTGATAAAGCAACGAGTTTGATGATCCATTGGAGTTACCTTAATATAATATTTTCCTTATTTTCGCTACTCCCTAACTTGCTACTCACAAATAGCTCCAACTGTATTATTCCAGTCTAGTAACTAAAATTGTGTATTACTCATCTGATTTTGATTGGTGAATCTAACTGTTTCATCGTTTTCACACTCCCCCCGCCATCAAACCGCCTCCATCATGGCACTACCAAGCTGCACCGAAAACAACCAAATGAGAATCCTCGCGAACTGGTAGCATACGATGCCAAAAGTCCCAAATGAAAATATTCGCAAAAGCATCTTTATTGTGACTGTGTAAAAACCCAAACAATTGACAGCCGCGCATTCCTGAGCATGTCGCAATGTAAATATGATCCGTCTCTTCGTGGACTAGTTTTCTCGGTTGTTAGGGGGCTGGCTACTTAACCCTCAGTTTCATGAATTATCTTAGTTGCCTATTTCTTTGTTTGCGCAGTTACCTGCTTCCCTGCTACATCTTGGACACGTCGCTTTCCTCAGCCTCATTCGCAATCGCTCACAGCTCATTTCAGCCGTCTCATTCTGTGGACATTCTGATTGGTTTCTTTTGCTCAGCGTTCCTTAGCTTTTTCACGTGGATGTATTATTCAGCCAACACATATTTATTATGCCTGTTTTTATTTTCCTGGTTTGTATCATTCTCACTATCAACTGTTCTGGCATTTGTTTAAACGCATCACTTCTCCACACTGATTGGACACTACTCGTCGTTTTTAATGTGCCCAGGGATTAACTCCGCAGACACTATTTTCTTTGCCGCACTTCATTGGCTCGTAATTTTCGCGATTCTCATTTGCTTGTTCCATTTTGTGTTTTCTCCATGCCTGTTGGACCTCATGCGTTTAGTAGCTTGGCTTCGCCCTTGTTGTAAAGCTATATAACTGGTGCCGTACTGCAATAGAAAATCTGTTCATCCCGGCTCATCTGGACTTCTTCTTGCGGTCGTGGGGTGAAGGCGTACTGGGCGTCACAACATCGTGCCACGAGAAATATACCTTATTATTATTATTATTATTATCATTATTATTATTATTATTATTATTATTATTAGTTTGTCAATCGTTTGACCGCACAAATTTGATCATTCAAAAATTGGTGGGTAAATTGTCTTCGCAATTTTTAACCGCCATGCTTATCCTCTTGGAATAATTTATTGCATTACTTATCTTTATTCGGGGCCTTGCTACTTTTTGCTCATAAGAGTCTGTTGTAATTGGCTTCATTCTGTCATCTTCTGTATCGTGTGTGATGTTTGTCCCTTGCCCTGATTTATTACTACATAGGTTACGGCACGGTAATTCTTCATTCTCTAGGTTGTTACTGCCCCAGTACGGGGCTGGTACACTCTATCGTAGCTAACATTATCGTTCGGTCAAGCCTAGCAGCCTACACATGTTAGCGTCAAATCCTTACTATGGCTGCTGTTGGTTATGCGGGTCGGAACAGCCACTGCACTTGCCCCCACCCCTCACCCACCGTCGTTGGCTAAGTCATCCGATGGCTGCTGTACCACCTCCCCAGTGGTTACCGATTCACGCCATAATTTCCGAAGGGATAGAGGGCCGACACTATCTCATGACCTAATGGGCTGTTGACGGCCAATCACATGACAGGTGCAGCACTACGATTGGCTGTCGCCTTTGATGCGGGGGTTGAGAATGAAAGTAGCGGTCGTGATCAGCAGGTCACAGAGCCGGTGATAGGGCAAGTAGTGTAGCTTTTCGGGTCGCCAGTTCATTGGCCGATAGTTTGGTTACGCTATGGTTTAATAGTGGCTGTGACGTGGTCGGCACCAGAGTGGACATGGAGGCCCAGGTTGACCGAACTTGTCCACAAATGTCGGCAGTTTATCCAAACCCGGTATGCACACGGTTCATTTCTTCCGGCATACAAGCTGCAGCGAGCGATCGATCAGGCCTGAGAAGGCCGAAGTGCGCGCGTTGTCGTAACCACGGTCTTGTTGCGTGGGTGAAAGGCCACAAAAGGCTATGCACTTATCGGAGTTGTACCTGTGAGCAGTGCATACTCATTGTGGAACGTCAACGCGTGATGGCGGCGCAGGTTGCTCTGAAAAGACGGCAAGCGGCTGAGGATTTGCTTGTTAAAAGGTTGGCGAGCACTAGTTCTCCTGCTCTGGATGTGTCGGGCGATGATCTTACGGCGTCCTCGAAAGCGCCTAGGAACTTCGAAGAGTTAAATGCATTGATTGCATTATCCGCAAATGGTGGTGAGTGTTGTTTGGTTGGTAAAAGTGGCGCGCACTGTCTATCTTGACCATTGTTTGATATAACAAATCTGCGTATCAAGTGCGTATGGTTTGATAGGTACTTTTAAACGCAGTCTAGAGAAAAAACTCAACTTTGGCGATAGCTTCAGCTGCGGCGTCGGAGGTTTCTGAATTTGTTTTATGGCTGGCAATTCGATAAGTGTATGCACGAGAATACAGACACTGCCTTCGCACCGGATAAGCCCTATCTCACTTGGTTGCGCCGTTTTTAGCAGCGGGATTTAAGCATCACTCAAGATGACATTTACTCGTATTGATCAATGTGCTTTAGGGGATTATTCCAACGAGCTTAATAGCTCGTACATTTGACAGACTGCTTAATGATAGCTATTAGCGACCCGACTTGAGTGCCCGAAATGCAGACCCAAGTTCTCATGAATTAGACAGACGTCCAATGACAGGTTAACGCTGCACTGGGTTTTGTACACTAAAATAGCTTTTTGAAGCCGTGAGGGAACTGTTTCACACTATTTAAACTATGAACACTAGACTGATATATGGAGGTATACTGGGACATTTTATTGTGTTTTAAACTCTTAGAAAATCAAGAGAAACCAACACGATCAATTTATATTAGTTGTATGTTGAAATTACCTCTGGCTGACCATCTGTGTACCTTTCTTATGTTTTAGCTGATAGGACTCGAATAGAAAGACACTGTCCCCACAAGAGCGATGCTGAGGAATTCTCTTTGAGCTCACGAGGGTTGTTCCACATCGCAAACTTGGATGATGGTTGTTTCTCCTTCTCTGATAACAACCTTTCAGCAACGCAGCCTCCATCAATGATCTCATCTGCCCACATGTTGTCCAACTTTTCCCTCGATGAAGTACAGGGACAGGCTATGATGTTATCGGCAATGTTTGCCTCCCTACCCAAACCACAAGAATTCAGCTTAACTGACTCTTGTTCCACTCTGTCAGCACAAAACTCCTTCCGATCAGTGTCTCCTGTTATCTGCATTGACTCATCTAGCTCACCTGTATCGGCCAGCACTCCACGTACCCCTCGCTTGTGGCCCCAAGCAACAAATGCAGAACGAATGATCCAAGTGCCTGACACATCATCGCTGAACGGAGGTGTCGGGATCTCGTCAGCACTTAGGCTTCTGACGTCTACCATTCGGTGAGCGACTTCGTGTCGACTTACTGGTATCTTTGGGAAACAGAACACACCTAAATGCAATGTCCCTCCTGTTTGTCAGACACCACTTTTTCCTCACTATTTTACATATCGATCTTATCAATACACTGTACTCTGATTAACTACTTGTTCCTAGTATAGAGGATACTGGCGACGGCATTTAGCTTGGTGCTTTGTCGGGTGTTTCATCACATTTTTCCACACGCAGTTGGTCCACAACCCCTAGGTCTCATCCATTGCTGCCAAGTCCTGCTCGTTCAGACTCCAGATTCTGGCTCCTCTTAGTTTTATTTTCCCATCAATGGCAAGCACTTCGCGTTCAGGCAAAGGCCTACCTGTGCACTATTGCGCAAATGCATCAAAGAGGGTGGGACACGAAGATCAGTGGTTATGTTCAGTCAGAGCGGAGGGAATGCGTCCGTTGACCGGCCGCCTATTAGGCAAAAGCTCGCCACGACAGACACACCTTGTCGCACAACTTGATCTACAATCACGTTTACTGCGGGACCCGATGCACTGTTTGGAATGTGAGTTGAGAAAACTTCCGTGGCTCTCTCAAACGAGTGTAGTAATCAACATGGCCTTACGGTTAATTAGTGGGTTTAGTTACAATATATAAGTATTTAGCAATCATACCCAAGGTCACAATAAAATCGACACATCAGTTTCGGTCATATAGATCACAGTCCGTCTAGATGAAAGTCCCAGTGTAGCTCACCATATGCTCGATTGCTGTGAGGTGGCAAGAGGACTCACAAACAACAATGTTGTGACAAGCATTGTACATCGTGAGTCGGCGGCTAAATGGGCAGGAGTTTCAGATAACATCTCAATGGTCCCTGCTTCAATACCTGCTGTCTCTAATTGATGAGATAAAATGGTTTCGGACGGGAGATACCAAATATTCAGCTGTTTTATCGGAAGTTCTTTAAACTGTGAAGCAAATGCTCACCAGATAATTAATGGAGGCACTGGTCTAGTCTGTAACCCATGGGGATACCATGTCCCTTTCTAAAGATAAGTGTAGCCAAGCGGAGACCAGTATACATGTGTTCTAACAGTCGTTTATCAAATCTGCCTCAGCTCAGATCATTCTGTCAAGTCTAATCTGCGCGCCAACTTGCGGTTGATTCACTTGCTATCGCTCTCGTACCACTAGGGTAAAAGTAATAATAAGAACACCAAATATAACAATTCAAGGCAAAAAATGAAATTGTCTGAGGGAACGTGTAACGAACGCGAGGGTGCTACTGATCTTGTGTCCGCATCATATCTGATAGGTTGTTCAGCTACAGATGCTGCCGATCCTGAGAACCCCATACAGAGTGGCAGCTTACATGTATACGGGGTACGTATCCGAACCAACAAAGACGACGAATCTACACAAAAAGGTGATCCAAGTTCAACAGGCACTCCAGTAGAGCAATGGAATGTCTGCACTTGGAATACCAGGCGGCGAGCCTCGTTCGTGTTTTACCCGATTCTCCCACTAGATGTGAGCAGCGCAAAGCTGCTAGGGCTCGACTTACAACATAACACTGACCGCATCGAAGCGTTGTAAACTATTGCCCTAATTGCTAACCTTGCATTTCATCTCGAACGTAGCGTATGGTTTTAAAAGGGTGCGTAATCAACTTGGTCATGTAGTAGCCAGAGGTGATACAGCTTCCCAAGCAAGTAAAATAAGCGATCGATTCCACTCGTTCTATTAATGCGACAGGTAGTTGTCGGTCAGTACATTTTGGAGGAGCGAATCTACACGAAAGTGTACAGCAATTCGCCTCATCCTACTTAGCAACACTTGCATGACAGCGGGGTTCGGCACAAAGTAGGTTGCATTATCAGTGTACACTGCGTTCGACAGCTGACCACCTAAAGGGTTCGACCGCTTGAGAAGTGCAAAGAGGCTGGACAGGGTCATTCATGATTTTTCAAAGACTAGGTTAAAGAGAAATATGGAGATAGGTTAGTCCTGACATTGAACTCTCCTCAGATAAGTATACGGCCACCAGAATCACCGCACAGCAAATTCGGAACAGAAGCGATCTACATAACTACAAATGTTTACGATTAAAAGGATAGTAGTAATCTTCAGCACAAAGTAGACAGCTATGTCACAATGTTGCTGAAACACCTGTCGACGAGAAAATGTGTAACCGATACACCATCATGTCCGTGTGGCTTGTTCACTGCATTGACAAATCCAACTCATCTGTGCTATTTAGCACTCCGTGTACGCAACACTCGTAGCATCAACCAAAATCTACCGAACGAAGGGGTTAGATTCGCATCGGTTCCAGATGTCTTGTTTCGTTTCAGCTGCACCATTTTGTGTAGAAGCTCGTTACTGGTAGTAGATGTGCTGTTGCTCCCGTTTGGTTCAGGTGCACTCACTCAATACCAATTCGGTTACATTAAGCCAGGTGAGTTGTTTCAAAACGTACTCAGTCCAGCAGACTAGCCAAGATGTTGGGGGGGGGGTGATTAGCAGTTCAGTATTGTTATTTGTCATCCTCAAACAAATGCTATTTCGGACTGTAGCGCCTGATGAGTCATGGCAGTGTTCTGGTGTCCCTTATGGAGCTGGCAAATTCGCGGAGACTCTGGCTACCCACCAGTGCCCCCGATCAACTCTGAAACTTCCAGCTGGACAACAGCTTATGGTTTTACGGATACCCTGAAACGCACATTCCGACCAAACCATCCTGTTCGCCTCAATAAAGGCAATTGAATCTCAACCTATTCAACACTTGTCGATTTTCCACCGATGGAATTGCTAAGACAGTGACATCGGTTAGATTACCTGTCATTTAACAAGGATATTATCAAGTCACTTGATGGTGAAAGCGGATTACTCCGCTTGGTGAACAAATTAACACGCAGATAGTCTCTCCGGGGTAGCAGTATTGCGAGTTACTGCAGCAGGAACACATGAATACTGTACGTTCCGAAACAATTGCGGGACTGCGTGATGCCAAATTTCGGGCCACAAGTGAACTGCACAAGGAATTTCATTAATTTACTTCATCAAGGACAAGTGAGAAAATATGTAGCAGTGATCTACCTAATTGGTAGTACATAAGCTCTCAGCTAGCACGGCGGTTGATTTAAAGCGTGTAACGTATCAATGCTACTGACCCACAAATGAACGTGTTTTCTTGCAATCTTGGTGCTTATTCCTGTTTAATGTGATGAGTTTGGAGAGGCCGGAGGTGAGTGGATGACACCCATTTGATGTTATCCTTGCGGTGAACGGAGCTACAGCACCATTGAAAGCTGTTAGGGAGGATATATAGTGTGCAGTATTCGTGCCACCAATAAATCAAGGGTGTGGGTCCGTTACTGAAGGGGCAGTATCGCCGCGGCGCGTACACCTGGTGTCCTCGCTTCCCCGTGATCTACCTGTTGGGAAAGTGGGGCCAGTCGTGGGCACCATTCCACAGGCGTCGCGGTTTGCAATGGATTCGAAGCGTGAAATTCAGCTAAGGTTGCTTTGTAGACGCAGGCATCTATGGATGCCCGCATTAACAGGCAAATCAGGAAAATGATACCGTCAAAGAATACTCTTTTCCCTAGGTTTTGTAGTTGAGGTAAAATTCTAACTCAGTCATCACCAGGTAGAGCCAAACAGATTCGCTTAAGTATGAGAAAAGAAATTGTCTATGTCCATTGAAATTAGAGTAGGAAGTAGAAGAAGAATACGGCCGGGAATTGGTTAAGTTTTCAGCCGCCGACCAACATGTGAGTAGTTGGCAAGAGAACCTTGCATCATCCTTGCATGCACCTCTAATAGGTCGACTGTGAATCCTGTCCTCGGGCAGCCCAATGAGGAACCATGGCCAAAAACATAGGGCCCATCCGAATCAAATCAATACGAAGTCAATCTTTATTGTCTCAGGGTCAAATTAATCTGAGTAAAACTGAGTATCCGGAAGACCCGAAGCCATATGGCGCCCCGAAACTATGCTGGAAGTTAGTACTTGCGCAGCAAAAGCGAATAACCGGTGCATTCCGGACCGTGCATAACTGACTACAGGTGAATATGTACAAATTAAAATATCATCAGTATCCAATGATACTCGTAGTTATCTTTTCTTGTATAACATTGTACATTTGGTATTCACCTTCAGGAGTGGGTACTTTGTCTCGTTTGATGTTTACTTCACTAACAAATTCCACTTGGCAGATACCATATGTCCCGGTATGCAAGAGCGCACGTCAGATGTCTGTGGGATCCCGTTTAACTCGGACCACCTTATGATCAAAACATTGCTTGCCAAGTCCTTGCTAATATTAGTTATTTGCCAAAACAGATCGTTATCATCGATAGCTGTTTTAAGTTTCAGGGTCCAACTTGCTCAGCAGCCATTGGCCTAATCAATTGTGCCGACATTTTATTTTTCTCATAGGTTTCAGTACATGTGAGCATTACATGCTTCTGATACATTTATCCCGTTACCGTGTTGACCTTCCGCTTTTTCACGGAGCAGTATTCCGGAGTCATTTATATGTACCAGGGAGAGCTGCTCATGAAATGCCGCTGGTGAAAAACCGGCTTATTCCCTCATATGCGTTGGCGCAAGTCACACAGCCAACTAAGCCGAGGCGTTAAATGCGATTCCAGAGGCCTTTGTTGACCGATCGAAGCATAGCCGCCTGAGGGTGGTAATGGCAACAGCGGTCATCGCGTCGTACTTTCACGGAAGTGTATGCATAACAGCGTTGTACCAGCGATTCATGTTACCGCTCCGTTTTATTTCAACCATTACTGGGGAGAATGACAAACTAGAGGAGAGTGCATGACGCGAAACGCATGCAAATATTCCGAGTCGGGGCGCTTATAGATCACCAGCGGCGCAATCGAAAGCATCAGGTTGCCGTGCATCCCAGCTGACTCAGTATAATACACACTTTACTTGGGCAGTTTGACAAGAGGACGATCAAAAGCACTATACTGTTCCCGACTGCGAGCCATTCTCTGTATGGTCTCGAGTCAGGATGGGTCACGCGGACTCTAGCCGTGATGGCGATACTGATGCTCAGCACC